ACGATCACCCACTCGGCTCACATGGACATCTTCCAGAACCTAGCTGTGGACTTGGACACTGAAGGTGAGTGAGGCCAGCCAATTCTGGGAGTTAAATTCTCTGCACCTTTTGCCACAGTCTGATCATAAAAATATTTTAAGCCACAACAGACACATAGTTATTTTACCAGTATGTTTATGGCTGTGTTTTTTTAAATCCCACAATTAATCATCACAGTGTTACATCAGTTTCAAGTGTACAATATAGTAATTCAGTAGTTCCATACATCACCCAGTGGTCTTCGTAAGTGCAGTCCTTAATTTTCATTGCCTGTTTAATCCATCTCTACACCCACTCCCCGTTGGTAACCACCAGATTGTTCCCTAAAATTAAGTCTGATTCTTGCTTTGACTCTCATTTTTTTCTTTTGCTTGTTTCTTAAATTTCACATAGAGTAAAATCATATGGTATTTGTCATTCTTTGCTGGCTCTTTTATCTTCAGTTGTATACGATCTGCTTAATGCAAAAAAATTGGAGAAATGGAAAGAGATATCCAGAATCCCTACCACATTACTTAGTATTTCAGTGTGTATGATTACACTATTTTTTTCTAGTGTGAAAATGAACATTTTCTTTTACTAGCCTCTCTTTAAAAATAAGCTCATCTTAGATTGTTTTGTTAGCCTACCTTTCTCCCCAGCATTTATTAGTGTGTGTCAGGCAACTTGTTAAATATTAGGTATATAAAAATTAACACAGATTTCCCCTAACCTGCTTTTTGGAAAGTTGGCAGTATATAATTCTTCCCAAAGGTTGCATCTTGCCTGGTCGAATCACATTTCTTTTGGTCTTCTATATTCATTCTTAATAGAGACCCCAGTAGGTACTAATCAACTACATAGACTTGTTTATTTTAACACAAAAGTAGTTTATTTAAAAAAGAAAAAAATCTTTTTTTTTTTTTTCAAAGTAGGCTCGAGCCCCACAGGGGTTTGAATTCAGGTGACCTGGCGATCAATAGCTGGATGATGCTTAACCAACTGAGCCACTCAGGCACCCTTAACATACATATACTTTAAAAAGGATGCCTACTTTTAACTTCGCTGTTATCAGTTCTGGAGAGGATAGATAGTTAATCTTGATAAACACTTGCTTGTCTGAAGGGATCTGAAACAGTGTAAAATCAAGATTTAACAAGACTGAACACCATTATGTCCACACCCAGCAAAAAAAAGGTGGGGGAGGGGGGCATAGCCTTTAGTGTTAAAGCTCACTTGGATAGCCTTATAAACATGAGTAATAATCAAGCAGAGGCAGACAACCAGATCTAGTTAATAGGTATTTATTCCAATATAGTCTAAACTAGCAGTTCTTAAAGTGTGGAGTGGAAGCCCTAAGGGGGTGTTCCTAAGACCCTTTTACATAAGAGCTATGAGGCCAAAACTACTTTCACAGTAATGATATGTGTGTATATTCAAGTTGTCATGAGTGTACAGTGGAGTTTTCCAGGGGCTACAAAAAAACATAATATTGGAACACATTGAACATGGGGCAGGAGAATCCAGCTGTCTGTTAAGCGACATTAAAGAAATCTGTGAAATTGATATTCTTCCCTAATTTTTTTAAAAAAATATTTTATTTATTTGACAGAGATCACAAGTAGGCCCAGAGGCAGGCAGAGAGAGAGAGAGGAGGAAGCAGGCTCCCTGCTGAGCAGAGAGCCCGATGTGGGACTCAATCCCAGGACCCAAGATCATGACCTGAGCCAAAGGCAGAGGCTCAACCCACTGAGCCACCCAGGCGCCCCTTCCCTAATTTTTTTAAATGCTTATATGCAGTGGGTCTGTTTTTAAATATTTTAAAAAATGAAGATACAAAGTAACAACCTCCCACCCCAGAAATGGAAACACTGGGGACTAGAGAAATACTGGTTGAAACTAAAGGATACTGTGAAAACCTGTATCAGAAATCCAAACCTTAGGGGTTATAGCTCAGTGGCAGAGCATTTTACTGCAGAAATCCAAACCTTAGCCCCTCAGAATGATGTCTTTTTATATTGGCTTTTCATGTGAGACAGATCTGCAATAAAATGAGTTTTCTGAATTTCTAGGTCGGTATCTCTTCCTGAATGCCATTGCAAATCAGCTGCGGTACCCAAATAGCCACACTCACTACTTCAGCTGTACCATGCTGTACCTTTTTGCAGAAGCCAACACTGAAGCTATCCAAGAACAGATTACAAGGTAAGGGAGATGTTTTTCAGATAATTGTAAGGGGTGCCTCTTCCCCTTTGTTATGAAGATTTTTTTCCCCACGTAGTCAGTATTGTCTTTCACCTGTTAAATAGGAGTTGATTAGTCTGATAGACACAAAATGACAAGTAGAGAATTACAAATTCTAATCATTGCTAAAATAAAAGGTTTTTAACGAAAGGTACTGGCATTTTGATTGAAAGTCAGCAGTTTCTCTCAGGTGGTGGTAGTGGTGGTGATTTTTTTTTGTCCAGAGTCCTGAATCCACACAGGCCTGTTAAAAGCCATCTAAAGAACTTGGGCTTTTCTTTATCGTCTAGGAGAAGTTTGAAAGAGAAATAACCAAATCATACGTGTTTTTCTTTCCCCCTCTTTTTTGATGTAATGGTAGTTTAGGAATCTGTGCAGACTGCTTAGTCTGCATAGCATTGGAGATTGGGCAATAGGTAGATTCTGGTGAAAGAGATACACACATCGTAAAAAGTGGGCCAGAGTATTATCTGATACTGTTATCTTTACCTTAACTCAGTCCTAGGCTCACTAATGGGAAGAGGGGCAGGATACAAACACAGGTTTTCTAATTACAGAATCCACCTGCATTAACCATACTATATATATAGACATTAATCCACTTGTCATTAGTAAAGCTACTAACTTTTGCATGTAGTTTCATAATCAAGGAGAAAAGTTAGAAAAAAAGGTAAAGGAGAAGTGGTCATAAATTTGTAGGTTTCTCTGTGCAGTAACTAACCTTTTTTCCCCTTCAGGGTTCTCTTGGAACGGTTGATTGTAAATAGGCCACATCCTTGGGGTCTTCTTATTACCTTCATTGAGCTGATTAAAAATCCAGCGTTTAAGTTCTGGAACCACGAGTTTGTACACTGTGCCCCAGAAATTGAAAAGTGAGTTCAAAGTCATTTTTTATTTAAGAATGAGAAACAGATGATGGCTCTAGCTGGGGTGGGTGATTAAGAAGGTTAATGATAGCCAAAGCTCATATGACCCAAGATACTGCCAGGTCTGAAGTTTTTCTCACAAACTTGTAACTGTCTCTGTTTTCAGGTTATTCCAGTCGGTTGCACAGTGCTGCATGGGACAGAAGCAGGCTCAGCAAGTAATGGAAGGGACAGGTGCCAGTTAGATGGAACTGCATCTCTGCTGTAAATGTGTCACAGCCTGGAGGTCCCACTGCACCAGGTTTATAAACTGGCTGAAGAATCCTTTCAGCTCTTCCTGACTTTCCCAGCCCTCTGGTTTCCGGGTACCTGCCCCAATTACTGTTTGGGTCAGCTTCCTATGTGGGCACGTTCCAAAGTTTAAATGCTTTTTATTGACTCTTGGCCAAAATTTAGAAGATGCTGTGAATATCATTTTGAACTGTGTAAATATATGAAAGATAAAACCTTTGTCTGGAACTTCTTGGGTTTGTGCAAAATGTGTCCAAGGCTAGTAGGTAAACTTGGTACCTGCCTAGCTTGTAACTGAAGGCTGTTGATGCCATGCACTTGTCTGGGGATATAACATAACTCCATGTCTCTGACATTCCTGGTGTCCCAAAGAATAGCAAAAAAAAAAAAAAAAAAAAAAAAGCCAGTTTAAAATATTGTGTAACTTATTTTTTTAATGTGGACAGGGGACCCTGAAAATCACAAAGTTGTTAAAAATGTGTATGTGCTACTATTTGGTATGTTTAGGGAACATGGGAAGAGCTCACAATTGAGATCCCATGGATTTTTGTTTTGCTTCTTCCCCAAATCTGAAGCTGACTGCTGGGAGAGTATCATTTTCTCATTTCAAGTGGAGAACTTACCTCTTTAGGCCCCAAGATACAGTCAGCTCTTTTTATAAAGGGAAGCCACATCAGGCCTACAAGTGCCCCTAGCTCTCTCTTCATACTTGTAAATTGTGGGAAAGGGGACTAATAGCGTATGAATTGCCCTTCCTCCTTCCCAGTGAATAGCCATACAGGCTATGTTGAACAACAAAAAAGTCAAAAGGACCAATACAGCCCCTTTTGTAAAGATTTTGAATGTTTTGTAAATGTATTGGTCCATGTGTTGTATTTTGTAGCCTTTCTAGTTCCTGGGCTCTAGCTCCCTTACTTGTATGTGTATGCATACTGTAGTCAAAACATTAAAGTCATGACATACGTGTGAGTCCACTGTGCCTTTCTCAGTAGCAGCAGCCAGTGCTGGTGGTGAGGAGGAAAGTGGACGGCCCCGTCTCTCAGAGCCTGGGGCCATGAGGAAACATCACTTCTTGCTGAACGATGAGATCTTTCCCACTAACCTGGCATGTTTCAACAGTAGAAAATCAGTGGAGTAGGTTTCTGTGATGAAAGAATTACAAAAGATTTTTCATACCCTTTCTCCTCGTGGGATTTTGATATATTTAAAATTTATGCCACTTAAAAAATACCTTACCTTTGATTGTCAAGTTCTGTAGCCACAGAGGACAAAAAGGTTCAAGATTAAATAGAAATTTTAACAAGTAAGGTCTGAATGTCATTGGTGTCTTATCTTAGGGTTCCTTCCCTTAAGGGTGAGCTGTGCCATCTATAGCAAACTTCAGATTGCTGAGGAAGTAAAACAGTTGCTGAGTGCCAGCGCCATATAGCTCATCAAACCCTCAAACAGGAAACAGTCTTGGAGGGAAGAAGCTTGCTCAAAATAGACCCAGGTCTACTTTAAAGTCCATGACCTTACTACTTACTAAAGATCAAGACCTTACTGCTATCACATTTCTGCTAACTCTAGTTCAGACTGAGAACAAAACAGTTAAACGATTTATTGGTCTTAGTAACCATCAGCAGTTTCCAATTTTAAAGACTGTGCCCAATCTTCAAACAGTTCGCCTTACCTCAGAGTTAACCCTAACACATCACCTTTGCTACTTTTCCTTTTGGCACTTAAAGGAAAAGTGAAGCAAAAGATCCAAATTTTCATTTTTTTCAAGCATCAGTGAATATTATCTTAGAATAAAGTTCTTGTTGTTGATGTTTCTTCAGGCAACACAAAACCTGCTAACTTGTCAGTTCCAACAACTGGTGTAGGATCATCTTCTGACCATAGCGAACCTGCAAGGCCTGCTGTTCCCTCCAGCTCAGTTTGGTGTACACCTCCTTGTTACCTAGTAAAGCTTGTTCAGATTTTAAGTCTGTGGCATAGTTTTGCAGGGTCAACAAAACACTGTCCCGAAGAAGCTGTCTCCATGATGCTTTGAGTTTCGGGATATTTGTGATTGTCAGGCTGTCCTCTTCCCTTTTATTATCTCCCCATCCATCCTGGTCTTTAAACTCTCTGAACTCCTCAGCAGACATGCACAGTACCTAGAAGCAATCATTGGGCCCTTTAAATCGTGTATTTCTAAATTTAGAGAAGCCTGTCTTGACAGCATTTAAGTGTGTGCTCCCTCGTCCCTTGTTTCCTTTCTCGTCTAAGCTCTAAATATTTTTTGGCTATTCTCAGCCCTTTACCTTGAGTGTGGTGGTCAGTTCCTCTTCAGTGAGTATCTCCTCACGCCCAATCACAAAGGCTCCCTCTTCCCCAACCATTTCCAGTTTACATAAGAAATCCCAGCGTTCATACAGTAGGAGTCTCTCAGCTTCAGCTTTTGTTCCTGTAGATAATAACAGTGTTAACGTCTCCATATATCCAGCAGTTCCTTTCTTCTTAATCTACTACCCAGTTTCCAAAGAATGGGGCAGCTGCTATTTAAGAGCACCTGGGGTGGGCACAGAGACCTATCCACTGGTGTCCCAAGACTGGAGCAACCACACACTCACCCTGTAATGCTGCTTCACGAACTGTCACCATCTGAATGTCAGCTGTGTCATCCGTGTTGTCAGGGTATGGTTCAACAAACCCATACATATGAATCAGTTGCCAATTAGCCATTTGCCCGTAAGTGTTGAAAATTTCATGGCCTTTAGGAATGGGCTGAGTGGCCACCATCCGAAGAAAATTCTGGGGTGGAAGGGAGAAGCTGGGAATAGACCCTATCCTGGCCAGCCCCATGAAGATTAATTCCCTCTTCGGAAGATCTTCCCAGTGGGTACAGTTCAGCACTGGAATTGACGATACACCTACCCACATTTTACTTTTAGTTCCTATTAAAGTCCTGTATAGGTATACCTCAGATTGTATAGGATCGGTTCCACACCACCACAAAAAAGCAAATACTGTTTAAAAAAAAAAAAAAACGAGTCAAATGAACTTTTTCATGTCCCAGTGCATATAAAATGTATTTCAAAAAACAGCTTTTTTGCTAAATAGTGCTAACCACCGGGGCGCCTGGGTGGCTCAGTGGGTTAAGCCGCTGCCTTCGGCTCAGGTCATGATCTCAGGGTCCTGGGATCGAGTCCCGCATCGGGCTCTCTGCTCGGCAGGGAGCCTGCTTCCCTCTCTCTCTCTCTGCCTGCCTCTCTACTTGTGATCTCTGTCAAATAAATAAACAAAATCTTAAAAAAAAAAAAATAGTGCTAACCACCACCTGAGCTTTCTGGGTGTTGTAATTACTGATCAGATCACCAAAACAAATAGAGTAATAATGGAAACATTTGAAATATTGCAATTCTTGCAATTTTAATTCTTCCCAAAATAGGACAGTCATGAAGCAAGAGAGTACCTGGGTGGTTCAGCCGTTAAGATTCTGCCTCCGGTTCAGGTCATGATCCCAGGGTCCTGGGATCGAACCCTGCATCAGGTTCCCTGTTTAGCAGGAAGCCTGCTGCTCCCAAAGGGGGGGGGGGGGGGGCACCGATAGACTTGCTCAACACAGGGTTGCCACAAACCTTCAATTTGTAAAAAGCACAGTATCTGAGGTGAAACATGCCTATACAGTAGAATCAAAGAGGTGAGACTTACAAAAGGTCAAGTTCAGCCTCATTGCTTTATTAGGTGAATCTCTGCTCAGTCATCTGCAGTACTTAAAAAGCTGCTTGTTTTTAAAAAGGAACAATTAAACCCCAAGTGAATATGGCAGATGGAGACCAGGATTAAAAAGTAGCCATTCCCTAATTCCATAAACTTGATCTTTTCTTACAACTTTCCACTTAGTAAATGGAAATGATATAACCCTGGTATTATCTTAGACCTGATGTAGGACCACCCCCCCCCCCCCCCCCGCCTCTCCCCACGACGTACTGACAGTATAGCCAACCTCTGACACCTAGGAAATGATGGCAGTAGCTTAGAAAAATAACCACAACTTTCTTTGCGGGTATTGAGGTTTTGTGTTCCAACTGTTCGGAATATGCAAACAACCTACATCACAAGGAAAGCTAACTTCACCTCTGTTTTTACCACGAGGAGAACGGAGCCCACTTAGCCTAACTCTCAGACCAGCATAAATGACAAGCGCTGGTTTGAATCAAATGCCTGATCATCAGTGCACATAAGAACAGTAACAGAGGGATGCACTCACTGGAGAGTATTCTAGATTGGCATTATGATTGGCTAAGTGGTTTAGTATGTCTGCAGCAGGCACCATCAAAGGGGAGTTTGGCTCCTTTTCATCCTCCTCTTCCTCCAGTGGTTCCTGAAAGCTGCCACAGAGAGAACTCTGCTAAAGCCCAGTGTAGGGTGAGAGACTGGGGTGTGGTTCACTGTTCTTTCCCCTCTTATCCCTCAAAGAGTTAGTTCTAAAGGAAGAAAGTCCTTCAAGGTTCTGCTCACTGACCTGTAGGCCATCACAAGAGCCACGAGCTGGCGGTAGAGTTCCAGGGAGCGAACCCTGGGGCTGAAAAGATCCGGGTGGGTTTCCATGAAGGGCAACACGATGGAATAATACTCGCTGCGGATGTTGGCCAAGTCCTTCTCCACGGCCTCCGGTACACCTGTGCCCTGCAGCAGTCGCCTGCGCTCCTCCTCAGGCCTGCAGTGACACCCCACCCGAGTTCCCTTCACACACCCCACCGGGACTAGTGCCTGGGGACCCGGTCCCCGGCCAGGGCGGTTCGAGCCAGGCTCCGGTGCTGGTGCTCCCCACCCCCTACTAAGGCGCTCACCAGAACATGGGGTGCTCCAATCTGCCCAGCTCCGGCCAGAGCGCAAAGTAGGGGCTCCAGGGCGAGGCCGGGGCCTGCAGCTCGTGCAGCAGCGCTAGCAGCAGCGGCACCCAGCCCGACTGGCTCTGCAGCGCGCCTCGCTCTGAGGGAGACACGGAGGTGAAAACCCGCGCCGCTGCGCGGCCCGCCTCCCCGTCCCGTCCCCGCCGGCGCACCCACCTCGCTCCAGCAGGCCGCCAATGGAGCAGGTGTGCTGCGAAAGGAGGGCGGCCCGCGGCACGGCGAACAGCAGCTCCCCGGGCTGCACGCTCTCCCGGGCCACCATGCCGTAACCGGCCACCGTTCCCTGCCGGCTCACCGCCACCTGAACCGGGCAGCCGCGGGTCAGAGAAGGCCTGCGCCCCCGCCCCCACCGCCGCGCACGCCAGCCCGCACCCCCTGCCCCTTCACCTTGGGACTCAGCTCCAGCCCAACCTGCCGGCACCAGCTCAGGAAACCGGCCACCGGGTCCGGGTCCGCGTCGCTGCAGCCCACGGGCCCGGCCACCTGGAACGAACTAGCGCCGTGGAGAGGGCCCGCCCCGGAGAACGCGCGGGACGCGGGAGCAGACGGAGGCGCGAGAGGAGGGAGGGTTCTCGGTAGGGGGAGGGGGCGCGGAGGGCAGCCAGGGACCCCTGCAAGCGAGCGGAGCAGGGGAGCGGCGGAAAGGGGCGCGTCCCGCTCCCGTCTCCTGCGACTTACCCGCCGGCGCTTCGCCTCAGTCGCCATTGCCGAGGCCGCGCGCGTCAGGAGGTCTACGTCGGCGTTGCCGGCGTCTCCGGCGTCCCACAAAAGGCCTTTTTGGGGGCGGGGCCTATGCCCCGACGCCACGTGACGTTCGCCCGTGCCTCCGACGAGTAGGGTGTTGCACCTGGTCAAATCACTCTTCCCGGGAACGTCCTTCTGAAGCCCGGGAGTTCGCAGCTGGGTTTAGGAAACGGGCGGTCGGACGTCTACCTGTATCGCCTCGAGCCTGGTTCCGAGCCAGGCCCAACTCTCTCCCTTTGTCTCCAAGAGCTGAGACATTTCGGAGAACAAAATTCAGTTTCTGGATACCAGCGCGAGGGCCTCCCGGGTGACCGGCTGTGAGCGCACCCAAGTGGGCGGCCGGCCTGCCTTCCTCATCGGAACTGGTGGTTAGCCAGGATAATCGAAGATGTTCTTTGCGCAGAGCTGGGGTGCGCGCGCCTGCGTGCCCGGGCGCCGTGGGGCAGGTCGTGTGCGCTTCCGAGGGGCATGGGAAGGGTTCTCAGAACGGGAATAAACAACCTCTGCACGCACTCGCTGGTGTATCCCTCTGTTTTTCATCATACGCATATGGTGGGTTTTATTTTTATTTACGTGCTGTATTGACACGTAGCAGGAACGCTATGTTTATTGAGTTAACGAGTCAGAAGTGATGGTTAAACATAGGAAAGTAGCATGCTGTTTAGAAAATGAAGCGGGGTTTTGAAGTCCTGCAATGCTAAAGCCAGCTCCTAGCTTGACTGCTTCTTAGGGCAAATCCCTTATCCTGAGGCTCTGTTTCTTCACCTGTGAAACTATGATTATATATATCCAGTGAGATTAATGTAAGGATTGGAGGGACACCTGGGTAGCTCTGGTAAGCATCTGTCTTCAGCTGGAGGTCGGGTTCTCAAGGTCCTGGGATCGCCTAGCCCCGCACCCCCCCCCCCCCCCCCCCCCCCCCGCTTCTCCCTCCGCTTCCCCCCCTCCCCACTCATGGTCTCTCTCAAATAAATATTAAAAAAAAAAAAAAAAGTAATAATTAGTAAGATAATGTGAGGAGACCTGGAAATAAGTGGGGCACCTGGCTGGTTCATTTGGTAGAGCAGGTTACTCTTGATCACCCGGTGGTCCTGAGTTCAAGCCCCAAGGTGGGGGTAGAGTTTTAGAAAAGAAAAGGAAAAAAAAAAAAACAAAAAAACCCAGAAATAGAAACATGGATGAGAACTCCTGCATTTTCAGTCCCACCTAAGCCCAAGAAGCACCAACCTCAAGGCTGCCTTTTCAAAAGCTTCCTGTGGTGGGCCTGACGTCACCATACTCGAATTCTTCTTCATTTCTTTATTAGTTTGCCAGCACAGTTAACTTTCTACTTTGACAAGGGTTTTATTTGTTTTACATTTTGTCATCTCAAAGTTTCATGACATCAGCCACTGGAATACACAAAATTAGGTTCTTCACTTTATACAGAGAGGAAAATAACTCCTTTAAAAGTTCACTTTGACCAAAGAGACAACCTCCGATGGAAAACCACACGCAGGAAGACCCAATATACATATATATATATATAATGTATAGATATTTATAGATATCTCATCTGAAAGAACACAGGAAAAAAAAAATCCAAGGTCTGCAGCGCTATCTACAGTAAGAGAGATTAATTCTACCAGTTTTTCAAACAGTCACATTTGATATTCAAAGGAAGCACGTGAGTGAATAGAACTGGGGACAGACTAACACTCCACCAGGCTCTAGAGCAGTCTAGTAATGGCTTAAGATTCTAGAAGGGGGTGATATGTTCCAAGGAAAGGTGGATGCAGGTGTCCGCTCAGCCTCAGCACCCCACACGCAACTGTCCCCTCCACAGCCCTGCAGTTCGCATTGCTCTCTCACCTCTGGTTTCAGGTTGTGTGGCAACTGATTTAGGCTCCAAGACCAGTGGCTCTGGTTTCTGGGCCAGGAGATTCTCCCTGATAGTGTGGGTAGGTGGGATGTGTATGGCACAGTCCTGGGCTTCAGGTGAAAGGAGGAGACCAGGGTGTGTGGAGAGCTTTTCTCCTCAGCCTGGCTCATGTTCACTTCAGGAAACTTCACTTCCCACCCCAGGACCCAGTAAGCCCCAGCCCAAGCCACTCCAAACGTCCTGAGATGGCAGTGGGGGCCTGTAGAAGTCTCGCTACCTTAGACCATTTCTCTCCAAATAAACTCTCTTCTTTCTTAGTGATGTCCACAGAAAATACTGGCATAGCTTGACCAGGACCAGAGATAATACCATGTTTCTGGTGGTTTTGGACACACTGCTGCTGACTGAGTTGTCCTCCACGGAACCTGTGGGCAAAAATCTTGTCCTCCATGGAACTAGGACTCTCAGCCACCACTGCCTCCAGCCACATACTGGCTCCCGAAGGCAGACACCATGAAGTTCTGGGGTGCATCCAACCCTCATGGGCTATCCCAGCATTTAAGCTCAGTCCCCAAATCAGGTCCCAATGGAGACAGAGGATCAGGCAACTTTCTACCTCTGGGCCTTGGCTCAGACATGGGCCAAGGCCAGGAGGTGGTGGAGTGTTTGGGCTAAGACAGTCTATGGGGTTCTTGCCTTTTAGGTCCTCTGTGTTCTGTATTCCTTGGGCAGAGAAACCCTGTTTGGACCCTACCTGCCTGGCCCTCCATCACCAGGCCAGCCCAGAGGCACCAGGGAAGCTGCTGCCTGGTAGGAGTGCCCCCTTGTGGCTACGGTTCAGGTGATTGTCACAAGTGCAAAAAGACAGAAACAGATGTGCTTGGTGGAGGAGATGGGGAGAAAGGGGCCTGCAGAGCTCCAGGATTCCTGCCTCCCAGGGCCCCCCAGTGCCTCCTCCTGGTTGTCCCCTCAGTACCTGAGCTGGACCCTGTGGCTCCTGCTGTCCCAGCACACCACCTCAAAACCACGTGCCGTCTCCAACTGCCTGCCCGAGGGGGCCATCCCGTGCTTTCTTCTGTCTAGGATATTATCCTGGATCCTGCCCAGAGAAGCACTCGAACTCTCTCCTTAGCAAATCCCCTTCCTCCCTGTACCCCGCCCTGACTGTGGGGAGTTGAAAGAGGGGGTCTAAGTCAGCCAAGTTGACAAGGTGAGTGAGCTGGGGGTGGGGAGGAGTGAGTCTCTCAAAACCACCTGGAGACTGTTCTGCAGCATCTAGGATGGATCCCCTCATCTTTTTAACAAGAGAGAAGTAAACCCATTTCCTCCCCTTGGCCTTCACAAAAATAAACTAAAAGGAAAACGAGCCGGCGCGAGGATGGCAGTGGGACGTTGAGGCGGGTGGGGGCAGGTGGGTGTCTCTGCCGGGCCAAGGGCTTCAACAGGACACCTCCATGGTGTGATTGACCTGGCCCAGCCCCTCACTGCTCTCCGAGTGGGTGCAGGCCTGCGGGCGGCTGCCATCCACCGAGCTGGCACTGGTGAGAGATGCCGTACGAGAGCGGGCGAGGCGGGTCATGCTGGCCGAGGGCACTGTGGACAGAGATGGGAGCGGGCGTGAGGGCAGGCAGGCAGGGCTAGGGGCCGGCGCGTGGGACAAGGATTGACGCAAGCGAAGCGGCCAGCCACACCTGTTCTTCCAACGGCGCAGGGGCCCATCTCAAGCCGCGGCTCTGGCATCTGCCCTGTCAAGCCGGGGGCATGCAGCACCAGCACCAGTGACTGAGCCCAAGAGGCGGGGGACCGGGGGCCCCCGCAGAGGCCAGCAGGACCCATCTCATGACAGCTGGCCAGAGCTACGGCTAGAGCAGGGTGGTTGGACTGGGGCCCCCTGAGCTGGTGCAGGGATGGACGTATTTCCCACGATGCCTCCCTCAAGAGGATGACTGGACAGGGGAGCATGACTACTTCTGTCAAGGAGGACAAGGGGCAGAGGCCACAGACTGCCTTAAATCCAGTTTCTGTCTGTACTCAGAGTTGCACAAACAAGACTCTCAGGGCGAATTCCACCTTCCTGAATGCAACCGGCCATCCATCCAGCTCGGGCATGGCCGGACGCCCCTGCTCCCAGGGCCAGGCCTGGGCTTCCGCTCTGTGAGGCTCTGGTTCCAACAGCCTGAGCTCTGAAAGCCACGCGGTCCACGGCACCCCATAAGCCAGACTGCTGTAAACCCCAGCCACTCTGAACAGGGGACACAACCCACTGGAGTCCAGGATCTGTGACAAAGCAGGACTCTTTCGGACTTTGGAGGCAAGCAGGACACAAGAAAGTTCCCAAGCCCAGCGAGATGAGGCCGGGCTGCAGCACCGCACAGAGGAAGGAGCAGGGGGTTGTGGGGCAGGGGTCCATGCATGGGAGGGGGCACAGGGCTACCTGCTCCTCCACTCAGCCTTCGGTCCTTCAAGTATGCAACTAAGAGAGAAGACAGAGCCAGAAGGGCGGGGTGGGGGGGGTGGGGGAGACACAGAACTCGGGTGAAGAGCGTGGCCCCACAAGGGCAGGGAGAGGAGACAATAGGACAGGCACAGAGCAGGCCGGGCCGGACCACAGCCTCAGGAAGCCCATTCCTGCCCGCCCACCGAAGCAGCCCCTGAGGGAGCCCGGACGCTACGGTGGGGACACTCCTCTTGCCCCCGCTTCTCTAGTCTGGGCTGCGGCACTGAGGGCCTCATGGCGAGAGGGGCTTTGGGGCCCATATCCCTAGCGGCAGCACCCTCCCCCTTTTTCTGGGCCTCAGTCTCCCCAGGCCCAGATTGGGGGAGGCCTGCATCCCCTCCTACATCCTGCCCGGCTCTTGGGCTGCGCAACGACATTTCTCATAGGGCCTTGAGAACAGGTCCCAGCCTACCAGGCGGGGCCCATCCACCCATCCCACAGACGTTCGGTGGGAGCTCCTGGAGCTCAGGCCCAGCCTCAGAGCTCCTGCTGTGTCCCTCTGTTGGCTCAGGCCTCTCTTTGCCCTACTTCTCCCCAGAAAGTATGGCAGGCCCACTCCTGGCTAGGCCCCCAGCCTTCCCTCCCTGTCTTTCCACAAGCTCCAGAGGCTGAAGGCTGGGGGGAGACACAAATT